GCTTCCTGTTTACACCTACTTCCTGTTTACACCTGCTTCCTATTATATAACTGCTTCCGTTTACACCTGCTTCCTGTTTACACCTACTTCCTGTTTACACTTGCTTCCTGTTTATAACTGCTTCCTGTTTACACCTGCTTCCATTTCACACCTGCTTCTTGTTACACCGGATTCCTGTTTACACCTGCTTCCTGCTTACACCTTCCTGTTTACAGCTGCTTCCTGTTTACACCTGCTTCCATTTTACACCAGCTTCCTGTTACACCTGCTTCCCGTTTACACCAGCTTCCTGTTACACCTGCTTCCCGTTTACACCAGTTTCCGGTTACACCTGCTTCCGGTTTATAACTGCTTCCTGTTTACACCTTCTTCCTGTTTACACCTGCTTCCGGTTTATAACTGCTTCTTGTTTACATCTGCTTCCTGTTTACACCTGCATTCTGTTTACACTTGCTTCCTTTTTACATTTGCTTCCTGTTTATACATGCTTTCTATTTACATCTGCTACCTATTTATAACTGCTTCCTGTTTACACTGCTCCCTGTTTACACCTGCTCCCTGTTCACACCTGCTTCCTGTTTACACCTGCTCCCTGTTTACACCTGTTTCCTGTTCAAACCTGCTTCCTGTTTACACCTGCTTCCATTTCACACCTCCTTCCTGTTTACATCTGCTTCCATATTACCCCTGCTTCCTGTTTACACTTGTTTCCATTCTACATCTGCTTCCTCTTTACAATTGCTTCCTGTTTACACCTGCTCCCTGTTTACATCTGCTTCCTGTTTACACCTGCTTCCTGTTTACACCAGCTCCCTGTTTACACCTGCTTCCTGTTTATAACTGCTTCTTGTTTACACCTGCTTCCTGTTTACACTTGCTTCCTGTTTACACCTGCTTCTGGTTTATAACTGCTTCCTGTTTACACCTGCTTCCTGTTTACACCTGCTTCCAGTTTATAACTGCCTCCTGTTTACACCTGCTTCCTGTTTTCAACTGCTTCAATTTTTCACCTGCTTCCATTTTTCACCTGCTTCCATTTTTCACATGATGCCTGTTTACACCTGCTTCCATGTTACATCTGCTTCCTGTTTGCATCTGCTTCCATTTCACATATGCTTCCTGTTTACAATTGCTTCCTGTTTACACCTACTTCCTGTTTACATCTGTTTCCATTTCACATCTGCTTCCTGTTTACAATTGCTTCCTGTTTACACCTGCTTCCTGTTTACACCTGCTTCCTGTTTACACCTGCTTCCCATTATATGACTGATTCCATTTACACCTGCTTCCTGTTTACACCTTCATCCTGTTTACACTTGCTTCCTGTTTATAACTGCTTCCTGTTTACACCGGCTTCCATTTTACACCTGCTTCCTGTTTATATCTGCTTCCATTTCACATCTGCTTCCTGTATACAATTGCTTCCTGTTTACACCTGCTTCCTGTTTACATCTGCTTCCATTTTACACCTGCTTCCTGTTTACATCTGCTTCCATTTCACATCTGCTTCCTGTTTACAATTGCTTCCTGTTTACACCTGATTCCTGTTTACACCTACTTCCTGTTTACACCTGCTTCCTATTATATAACTGCTTCCATTTACACCTGCTTCCTGTTTACACATACTTCCTGTTTACACTTGCTTCCTGTTTATAACTGCTTCCTGTTTACACCCGCTTCCATTTTACACCTGCTTCCTGTTTACATCTGCTTCCATTTCACATCTGCTTCCTGTTTACAATTGCTTCCTATTTACACCTACTTCCTGTTTATACCTACTTCCTATTTACATCTATTTCCTGTTTACATTTGCTTCCTTTTTGCACTTGCTTCTTGTTTACATCTTCCATTTCACACCTACTTCCTGTTTACACCTGCTTCCTGTTTACACCTACTTCCTGTTTACACCTGCTTTTTCTTATATAACTGTTTCCATTTACACCTGCTTCCTGTTTACACCTACTTCCTGTTTACACTTGCTTCCTGTTTATAACTGCTTCCTGTTTACACCTGCTTCCATTTCACACCTGCTTCTTGTTACACCGGATTCCTGTTTACACCTGCTTCCTGTTTACACCTTCCTGTTTACTCCTGCTTCCTGTTTACACCTGCTTCCATTTTACACCAGCTTCCTGTTACACCTGCTTCCCGTTTACACCAGCTTCCCGTTTACACCAGTTACCGGTTACACCTGCTTCCAGTTTATAACTGCTTCCTGTTTACACCTGCTTCCGGTTTATAACTTCTTCCTGTTTACATCTATTTCCTGTTTACACCTGCTTCCTGTTTACTCCTATTTCCATTTTACATTTGCTTCCTGTTTACATGTTTTTCCTGTTTATAACTGCTTTCTGTTTACACCTCAAATACAGAGGAAAAAATTAGATAATCAGGTTCTGTTAGAGTTCTGTTAGAGTTTGGATGTGTAATCTGGATTATATGTTTAATCTGGATGAAATGTTTAATCTGGAATAAAAGTGTATTCTGTATATGTAATGTCTGTGCTCAGAGCCCGCAGTGAGCTGCTCATCCTGTGTGGGTACATCGGAGCTCTGCTGGCCATCAGGAGGAGTTACTGCAGCATCGTACCTGCTCTATACGAGTACACCAGGTGAGACACACCTGTCTTACTTTAGCTGCTGAACTTGTTCCAGGTGTTTCTCAGTTCATTTAACTCTGAGTTCAATAATCCTGACAAGGAAACTCTGGTAACAGCTTTAACTGAGTTTACTTAATCCCAGGTGAGCAGTGTTTGTCTGTGTCCAAAACCAGAGCCCAGGTCTACATCCAGAGCCCGGGTCTAGATCCAGAGCCCAGGTCTAGACCTAGAGGCCAGGTCTAAATCCAGAGCCCGGGTCTGGATCCAGAGGCCAGGTCTAGATCCAGAGCCCGGTTCTAGATCCAGAGCCCGGTTCTAGATCCAGAGCCCGGGTCTAGATCCAGAGCCCGAGTCTACATCCAGAGCCCGATTCTACATCCAGAGCCCGGGTCTAGATCCAGAGCCCAGGTCTAGATCCAAAGCCTGGATGGTCTAGATCCAGAGCCCGGGTCTAGATCCAGAGCCCGCGTCTACATCCAGAGCCCAGGTCTAGATCCAGAGCCCGGTTCCAGATCCAGAGCCCGGTTCCAGATCCAGAGCCCGGTTCCAGATTCAGAGCCCGGGTCCAGATCCAGAGCCAGGTTCTAGATCCAGAGCCCGGTTCTAGATCCAGAGGCCAGTTCTAAATCCAGAGGCCGGGTCTATATCCGGAGCCCTGGTCTAGATCCAGAGCCCGGGTCTACATCCAGAGCCTGGGTCTAGATCCAGAGGCTAGATCCAGAGCCCAGGTCTAGATCCAAAGCCCGGGTCTAGATCCAGGGCCCGGGTCTAGATCCAGAGCCCACGTCTACATCCAGAGCCCGGGTCTAGATCCAGAGCCCGGGTCTAGATCCAGAGCCCTGGTCTAGAACCAGAGCCCTGGTCTAGATCCAGAGCCCGGTTCCGGATCCAGAGCCCGGTTCCAGATCCAGAGCCCGGGTCCAGATCCAGAGCCCGAGTCTAGATCCAGAGCCCGGTTCCAAATCCAGAGCCCGGTTCTAAATCCAGAGCCCGGGTCTAGATCCAGAGCCCGGGACTAGATCCAGAGCCTGGTTCTAGATCCAGAGCCCGGTTCTCAATCCAGAGCGCGGGTCTATATCCAGAGCCCGGGTCTATATCCAGAGCCCGGTTCTAGATCCAGAGCCCGGGTCCAGATCCAGAGGCCAGGTCTAGATCCAGAGCCTGGGTCTAGATCCAGAGCCCGAGTCTAGATCCAGAGGCTAGATCCAGTGCCCGGGTCTAAATCCAGAGCCCGGTTCTAGATCCAGAGCCCAGGACTAGATCCAGAGCCCGGTTCTAGATCCAGAGCCCGGGTCTAAATCCAGAGCCCGGTTCTAGATCCAGAGCCCGGTTCTAAATCCAGAGCCCGGGTCTATATCCAGAGCCCGGTTCTAGATCCAGAGCCCGGTTCTAAATCCAGAGCCCGGGTCTAGACCCAGAGCCTGGTTCTAGATCCAGAGCCCGGGTCCATATCCAGAGGCCAGGTCTAGATCCAGAGCCCGGATCTAGATCCAGAGCCCAGGTCCATATCCAGAGGCCAGATCCAGAGCCTGGGTCTAGATCCAGAGCCCAAGTCTACATCCAGAACCTGAGTCTACATCCAGAGCCCGGGTCTAGATCCAGAGGCTAGATCCAGAGCCCGGATCTAGATCCAGAGCCCGGTTCAAGATCAAGATCCCGTGTCTAGATCCAGAGCCCGTGTCTAGATCCAGAGCCTGGGTCTTGTTCCTGAGCCCCGGTCTGGATCCAGAGCCCAGTTCTAGATCCAGAGCCTGGGTCTAGATCCAGAGTCCGGGTCTAGATCCAGAGCCCGGTTCTAGATCCAGAGCCTGGGTCTAGATCCAGAGCCCGGTTCTAGATCCAGAGCCCGTGTCTAGATCCAGAGCCCGTGTCTATATCCAGAGCCCGGTTCTAGATCCAGAGCCTGGGTCTGGATCCAGAGCCCAGTTCTAGATCCAGAGCCCGGTTCTAGATCCAGAGCCTGGGTCTAGATCCAGAGTCCGGGTCTATATCCAGAGCCCGGTTCTAGATCCAGAGCCCAGGTCTAGATCCAGAGCCCGGTTCTAGATCCAGAGCCCGGGTCTAGAACCAGAGCCCGGGTCTAGATCCTCTGAAGGTCACAGCACCATGGTGTAGGCTGTGTGTGTTGAGGCTTTTAGCAGTAACTTTAAAGAACAAAAGGTCAGAATAAGGGGTCACGAAAACATCTTGTAGAATATTCTGGAAAAAGTTGACATCATCTGTAGCCCACAATAAGTGTGTATTGGGTGGTGTCACATTTCCACCCATTCTTGGAATTGCCCGCCCTTTTCCTAACAAAATAACTGGGGTGTAAAAGGTTATGGTTTTCTAAATGCGTCAGTTCAGTTTGGAAGGTCTGTTCTGTCGGCTGAAGCTTGTTACTGGACTGGACTCAATAAACTCCCTCTAGCTGGACAGATCGATGTCTTCTCATCGTTTTTCATCTTGACAGCAGTCTTCTCTCTGCCTCTACATGTGAAACCGAAGACTCCTGATGAGGCCGACTAATGAGTCCTTCCTTTGGCCGTGATTGAAGGACTGGTGTGAAGGATCCTTCCTGGTCCATTTCCCATAAC